ACCGACAAATATTTTGCATCCCTCGTCCCCGGCTGCTGTAATCTTAAACCGCCAGCCGCCCGAGGCCTATATTTAACGAGAAACGCGTACCCCGGAGGCCGCGTGGGCACCGCTTGCCTGGCTCCCGGAGAATCTTTGTAATTGGGAGGGAAGTCCCCATTTTATTAACACATCTATTTTGGAAATTGGGAGCCGGAGACTACAAACTCCCCGGGAGGGCCATATTGTTTTTGAGAGCCTTTGTCTGCGGTCCTGCAGTCTCGAGCAAGCCATCCCGACTCCTAGGTGCCCTCCTTTTTCCGAGCCTGCACCAGCTTCTCAGCTCCACTCTGTGAGCCACAGGGGTCGTGGGGGCTGGGGAGATGAACGCTGCCGCCAGCAGCTACCCCATGGCCTCCCTGTACGTGGGCGACCTGCACTCGGACGTCACCGAGGCCATGCTGTATGAAAAGTTCAGCCCTGCGGGGCCTGTGCTGTCCATCCGGGTCTGCCGCGACATGATCACCCGCCGCTCCCTGGGCTATGCCTACGTCAACTTCCAGCAGCCGGCCGACGGTGAGTGGGAGCTGCCCGCAGATGCCCGGGATCCGGGGGGAGCGGGGGGTGGGGGGGCGCCTCGGAGCCATCCATCCCCCAGGCAGGTCCCTGCCCCCATGGAGGGGGCCCCGCGACCGCAGACAGCACCGTGGCCCCAGAAGCCATGTGGGGAGCCGGGATGCAGGGGCGCAGAACGTGGGATCCTGGCATCCGATGGCCAGAGTTTTTCAGTCCGGTTCCCACCACTTGCTCACTGGGTGACCTTGGGCTAATCAGCGGTGGCAGAGGGGTTGGAGCCCAAGGAGACTAAAATGGTCTCGGGGGGAAGTCGCCGCGCTCCCAGGCTGCGTGTGGTCCAGTGGAGCTGGTGTGTGAGAGCCCCTGGCTGCTGAGTGATCGTGGGCAGGTGCCCTCACAGGCCTGCCAGCGAGCACCATTGAAATGCAATTCCTGCAGAAATTTGAGGTGGCGGAACCTCGGCCCCTTCTCCTACCTTTACCCCCCGGACTGAGAATCGGTTTGATTTTTGTGCCGATTCGCATCTTTCCAGGCAGGTAGGAAGCAGGGGGATGCGTCTCTGCGTTAAATTTGAGCAGGCACTTGAGTTCGCACCACCAGAGCCTCGCGTGCCAGGCCAGCTCCCTGATCGGGGTGTTTGCAGCTGGTGTGGGGGGGAGTTCTGTCGGGAGGAGGCCAGGTCTGTGGAGAATGGATCCCAAGGTAGCCTGGGGAAGCACGGCTGCGGAAATCGCTGGCTGATGGGGATTATCATTTCACCTGTGAACAGCGCTTTACACTTGTCAAAACCCTTTATTTCCTCCCATCTGAAGCCTATAGACTGTAGGGCTCCTGAGAAGGAGAAGGGACAGCAGGAGGTCGGAGGCCAAGCTGGGCCTGCCCGTGCAGTGCTCCGAGAACCCACGTTGGGCCTTAGCGTGGAGCAGTGGCGTGGGGAGGTATGCCGCAGGCGTGGTGGCAGTGGCCAGGCCTGCGGAAACCTAATCAGGGGCTGCACGTGACTCCAGATTAGCAAGGAACAACTGTAGAGATCATTACCAGGAGAAACCAGCCATTCTGTGGCAAAGGGTCTCCAGGTCCCTGTTATTGTCCCCACTTGGTTTGCTGTCTGTGAAGCACAGAGAATGCCACTTGCCCAGGATGCAGCGGAGGCCAGAGGATAGGACTTGCTGGGATACACAAGGCACTGCTCCCGTCAGTTCAGTGTGCTCTGAGCTGGCTTGTGTCTGGCCACAGGCACAAAGAAGGTAGCTGAGTGTGGCCTTTTTAGGTGGGAGGAGTGGGTGTGTTGGCTGTTGCCTGCCTTCTTGACGCTTCTGAACAAAAGTCCTGTCACTTATAGTAGCAGAAGCCATTGGTCAGTGTTGTCTGCCAACACATAGCTCTGCAGGCCCTCTCCCTGCTATAAATAAGTGCAGCCCCATTTGTCAGGCTAAGCTGACTTGCCTTCTGCAGCACTGTCTGGAAATAGAAGAGGAGCCGTGTTGGAATGGGTTCCTTCTCTGCTAATTAATGAAACAACACAAATTGGGGGTCCCAGGCTTTCTATCTCAGCTGGTCATCACAAGCAAACTCCCCTGTGCCTGGACCTTTCCTGGTTTGGGGTTGCCCTATCTCCTACTTCCTGACCTCCTCCCCTCCTCCCCTCCCACTCTGAGGAGCGCACCTAAGGAAGACGGAAAAGGTGGTTGGGCGGGGGGGTGGGGGGGGAGATACTTGTTGGCTGGCTGGGCAGCTAAGCTTGTGGAGGGGCCGTTAGGGAATTTTGTCCCCTTTTAAAGTGAGACGGTGCCTTGAGGCAGAAAACCTCCCCACCCCCCACCCCCCCATTCCTTCATGGAGGACATTCCTGGGTAATACTATCATTGCATAAATCAGGGTAAATGGCCACCAGCCCTGGGTCCTTGTTACTACGAGCAAAGAGAATTACTCCTGACTGCATGTGATGATAAATTTTAGCTTCTGGTCCTTTAAATGGTCTCCATGGTGCACACATGGATTTGGTGGGAAGCTAAGGAACCAAGGCCTTGGATGGAGAATTTGTTTGGACACCAAGGCATTTGAAGGCCTGGAAACCACCAGGTGCAGGGCCTACATGCACTGTCTACTTAGGCAGAAAGATGCTGCAGTTTTATCTTTCTTGTCTCGTAATACAAAGAACATTTCTATGTGTGACCATGAATATTTATCATTTTGGTGATTGAGGCTTTTTATCTGAATCAATTTCTGTTCTCAGAAACTGAGAATATAAGAAACGGGGCTGAAACCAGGGATAGCACATTTTCAGTCCCAATCACTTGCTCACAGTTTTGTTAATTCTATATTCTGTGTTAGCTTCATAATGGTTAGACAATGGTGTTAGTTTCTTTCTTTTTTTTAATACATTTTTATTGATTTTAGGGAGGAAGGGAAAGAGAGAGAAAGATAGAAACATCAATAATGAGAATCATTGATCAGCTGCCTCCTGCATGCCCCATACTGGGGATCAAGCCCATAACCCAGGCATGTGCCCAGGCCCGGGAATCGAACCTATGACCTCCTGGTTCATATGTCAATTATCAACCACTGAGCCACGCGGGCTGCCCAGGTGGGTGTTAGTTTCTTAATCACTAGTTAGCCGCATCATTTAGCCACCCTGAACGTAAGTTTGTTAATTTTATAAAGTGGATAATTTCATTTGTCCCACCTGTCATGGTGAGTGATAGGCTGCAATGTCTTTTATAAGTGATAAAAAAGCTTAATCAAATAGGAGGTACAGTAGTCCCCCCTTATTTCCTGTTTTGCTTTCTATGTTTTCAGTTACCCGTGGTCAACCGTGGTCCAAAAATATTAAATGGAAAATTCCAGAAATAATTCATAAGTTTTAAATTGCACGCTATTCTGAGTAGCGTGATGAGATCTCCCGCCATCCTGCCCAGACAAGTTATCCTTTGTCCAGCATATTCATGCTCTGTACACTACCCGCCAGTTGGTCAAGTCACTTAGTAGCTGTCTCCGTTATCAGATCGACTGCAGTAGTGCAGTGCTTGTGCTCAAATAACCCTTATTTTACTTGATAATGGCCCCAAAGCACAAGAGTAGTGATACGGGCAATTCAGATATGCCAGAGAGAACTGGAAAGTGCTTCATTTAAGTGAAAAGTTGAGTATAGTACAATAAGATATTTTGAGACAGAGAGACCACCTTATAACTTTCATTACAGTGTATTGTGAAAATTGCTTCATTTTATTACTAGTTACTGCTAAGTTTCTTACCTAATTTATAAATTAAATTTTGTCATAGGTATGTATGTATAGGAAAAAACATATATAAGGTTTGGTACCATCCGTGGTTTCAGGCATCTGCTGGGGGTGGTGGTGTCTTGGAACAAATCCCCCACTACTGTGTTATCATTTGATCCTGGTGCCATAAGGCCATTTAGATGATCTTGCCTAATTCCCTGACCCAACACCCAACAAGGATGCAGACCCAGAGGGGTTGAGACTTCAGCCATGAAGTAGATTACTTGGCTAGAAGTTATTTTACCCTCAGTAGCAACACAGGTTAGAGGCATCTGATGCCCTTTAATTGTAAGAGTTGCCTTTTATCAGTTATTACCTTGAAAAGTTCTGGGATTGCCTATTCCTGGGATAGTGGCAGTTACCTACGTGAGGTGTTTTATATCCTCGACTAAAATGTGTTTCTCTTGCAGCTGAGCGGGCCTTGGATACTATGAACTTTGATGTGATTAAGGGAAAGCCAATCCGCATCATGTGGTCTCAAAGGGATCCCTCTTTGAGAAAATCGGGTGTGGGAAACGTCTTCATCAAGAACTTGGACAAATCTATAGATAACAAGGCACTTTATGATACTTTTTCTGCGTTTGGAAACATTCTGTCCTGCAAGGTAAACACTGATTAAATAATTGCAGCAGAATAACTACTCTGAAAACAAGATAAATACTAAACGGGAAACTGCCTGGGTTTTGGGTGCCAGGGCATGTAAATTTTCAAAATTCTGGAAATGGCTCTTAGGCCTAAATGTTCCCTGTAGATAATCTCGTGCCACAACCCAACATAACTAGCAGGTGCTTTTGTGTCTTTGTTCTTCCCTCTGCCTGAAATATCCTTCCTGTCTTCTAACTTTGGAAAGCACGAAAAGGTTTCTGTTGGGGGCGGGAACCCAGAGCAGTGCCTGTGGTTTCCAGGAAGCTGTGTGTAGTCATTTTAGAAGCATAAACTCACCTTCATTTTCTCTGCACCTGTTTATGTGGAGAATTGCTAACAACTTGTGTGGTGGTTGTTTACATGGCTACCATTTGTAAATGGAACATTACTGAGTGGCTGATGCTGTAGTGAGGGTTAGAAAAACCTTAATTGCTGTAGCCTCCTGCAGTTTGCCCCGGGGTAGGCTAAAAGCCTCAGACATGGGAGACCCTGAGTAAGAGACCATCTGGTTCTTGAATCTCGGGAGCTGGCCAGTGGCACTAACGTGGCCTGCCTTGTCTTTGACAGGTGGTGTGTGACGAGAATGGCTCTAAGGGTTATGCCTTCGTTCACTTCGAGACCCAAGAGGCTGCAGACAAGGCCATCGAGAAGATGAACGGCATGCTCCTCAATGACCGCAAAGTGTGAGTGTCCCAGTCTGGAGCAACAGCCATCGCATGAGCCAGCCATGGCCCCACCTCGGTATTAACTGACACACACAAGGCGGCTCCTGGTTCTCTCGGCCCAAGTGTGGCCTGCTCCTACCTCTCCACTCCTGGGCTGGTGAGTCTCCCTGCTGAGCCATGGCAGCCCTTGTGACTCGCCAAAGGTGGGCTTCCTGCCCAAGCCATGGCCTGCCTGCCGCCTCTCCCTTAAAAGCACATGTCTGGGTCTTATGATCATTGGCACCTGGGCTGGCTGGAAAACAGCTCAAAGCCCACTCTGAGCAGGGGTCTTGGCCAGCGGCAGAGTGGAGAGGGCCCTGGACTAACCAGGAGCTGTATATTAGCCATGTGACCTTGGTCTGTCCATGGGGTCACTTGCCAAATTGTCCCTGGATCTCCACTTGGCTAATTTATGACTCAGTAGCCTTTTATCACAGGCTGGCTCCACAGTAATACTTAATTTGGTTACAATAAAATCTCATCCCATCGCAGAAGACACTATTTATAATAGACCTTGTTGCTTTGGTGTGGTTATTGCAGAATGGAGACATGGAGATCTTAGCTAAGCCATCGAGGAGAGGAGAGGAGAAGAGACAATAAGTCTTGGCTATACTAAACAAAGATTATTTCTGTCCTCTGCGTTGTTGAGCAGACCAGGGGATGGGTTGCATTGATAATGTGTATGTGCCCAAAGATATCACTAGAGGGAAACCTAAAGATATTCAATGTATGGATACATTCCTATTAAGTGTAAACAACAATGAAATGAATAAAGTGAAAAATGAAAGGTAGTCCACTCCAGCAATTTCACTCCTCAGATTAACCACTGTTAACAGTTTGGTTTGTATCCTTCCAGACCTTTTCTATGCATTTACATAGATGCACAGAAATGGACGTTTAAAAAACTTGGTCATCAGGTTTCTTCACGAAGGCAGTGTGATGTGGTAGGAGTAGCCTGGTGTGAACCAGGAGCCTTGGGGCTGGTCCCTGCAGGACAGTCCTGCTGCTTTTTCTTTCTGTGGGGAGTTGGGCATTTCTGAGCTTGCTTTCTTGGTGGTTGGACTGGGACTTGTGTTTTAACTTCTCCTGTCAGCCTTTAACCTGCATTCCTTTGGTCCCTGGAAATCATGGCTTGTTCCTCTGGATGATCACTGTTTTTCATGGGTTCCTTTTAGGTTTGTGGGCAGATTCAAGTCTCGAAAAGAGCGGGAAGCCGAGCTTGGGGCCAAAGCCAAGGAGTTCACTAATGTGTATATCAAAAACTTTGGGGAAGAGGTGGATGATGAGAGTCTGAAAGAGCTGTTCAGCCAGTTTGGTGAGTCAGGTCCTTTGGCCCATGTGCCCTCTTTCATAGTCCACCAGACCTGGACTTCATCTGTTTTCAATGAAGAGAAGAGGGCACCTAGACCCAGAAGTAAAACACCTTCCATGACAAAGGTCACAGCGTAGCTAAGAATAGATTCCAGGCCTCAGCTCTTGGCTTTACTCTACCTCGTCCAAGCTCCAAGGCCATCTCAGCAGCTTGGTCAGAATTAGAAGGCCAGGCACGGTGTCTCTTTCTTAGTAGTCCATCTGGGTTCAGCAAGAGGTTGCTTCAAGTGGGCTCCTTGAACTGTGGTACCGATGGTGTTACTAATAGTTCTGTCCTTTGGTAATAGGTAAGACCTCAAGTGTCAAGGTGATGAGAGATCCCACTGGGAAATCCAAAGGCTTTGGCTTCGTGAGTTACGAAAAACACGAGGATGCCAATAAGGTGAGAGTACCACCAGGGTCGGGAAAATTTTATAGGAAGGCTCCAGAGTGCAGCTAGGGCCTTGGTAACACATAGAGTGGAGCTGGAATTATCTAAGTGTCTAGTAGTGATGTACAGTTACTGTGCTCTGGAATGGCCTTCTTAAGGGGTTTTACATGTTAATGTATCAGTTAACTGTTTTCAAAGCACCTGGCACATACCTGTCACCTTAGCTCTTCGGCCTTGCAGGTTGGAAATAGGACAGGTGACAGGTGTTTGTTCCCATTCATAGGCAAGGGAACTATAGACCAGAGAGTTTGTGATTTGATAATAGGACATCAGCTACCTGTGGGCGTAGCATTAGATACATTCTAGGCCCTTGACATGTATCACTTCGTACCCACAAAAGAACTGAATCTAATGACAGCCAGATGATTAAGCCAGGCTCGTGTCTTCTATGCTTGTATTTATACAGCTGTGCTATTTCCCCCCCCCACCCCCCATGTTATCTGGGCCAATAATCCATCTAAATATTAACCCCGTTCTATTGATGAGGAAGTTTGAATTTGCTTAGCTGACTTCAGAGACAGAGTGAAGTTAGTTTTTAGCCCTATAGGGAAGATTTCTTTCGGAATATTTGGTGGGTCTTACAGATCTCCAGAGCGAGGCCCCTGCCTCTGCATCCTGTTTTAAAGATGCATATTTATTTCTTCTTTAGGCTGTGGAAGAGATGAATGGAAAAGAAATCAGTGGGAAAGTCATTTTTGTAGGCCGTGCACAGAAGAAAGTGGAACGGCAGGCTGAGTTAAAACGGAAATTTGAACAACTGAAGCAAGAGAGAATTAGTCGATACCAGGTGAGAGGTGGTCTTGGCACAGCCTACCAACAAGGAATTTACTATGTGTGTTGGCAGAGCACCCAGATATTTAACGGACTTTCTTGGGGACTTGGAGCCTGCTCACCATCATCAGGCTTAAAAGGATATGCCTACCAGATATAGCAGCAATTCTAAAACAGGGACCAAAGAGATTAATTTATTCCTTTAGGGACTCTGTTCCAGAAGCCTCAGTCTTAGTTTTGTGGTTCCTTTTATTTAAATGATATGCATTTGTTTGGAATGGTGGCAAGGAGAGCCCTGCTGGGATGAGTGGTCAGCCAGAGCAGCTGTGAGGAGATGATAATAGCAGGTGAGTACATGGTGCTCCTATCAGAATCTTAGAGTGGTAGTTTCTCAACTTTGAGCCTGCATCAGAATCCCCTGCAGGGCTTGTTAAAACACAGATTGCTGCTCCGGCTGGTGTAGCTCGGTTGGGCGGCATCCCATACACCGAGAGGTTGCCCCTTGATTCCCAGTCAGAGTATATGCTCGGGTTTTGGCCTCAATCTCTGCTAGGGGGCATGCAGGAGGCAGCTGATGGGTCTTTTTCTCTTCTTTCTTCCTCTCTCTAAAATCAATATAAACAAACACACATGGGTTGCTAGACCCCAGAGTTCATTAGGTTTGGATTCTGGCCTGAGAATTTACATTCCAAACAAGTACCCAAAGATGCTGCTGCTGCTGGTCTGAGGCCTACACTTTGAGAAACCACTGTCTTATGGAATATATGGGGGAAAGGGGGTAAAAAAAGACTAATAGTGATTCTTCTGCTATAGGGGGTGAATCTCTACATTAAGAACTTGGATGACACCATTGGCGATGAGAAGTTAAGGAAAGAGTTTTCTCCTTTCGGATCCATCACCAGTGCTAAGGTATTTTATACTGAGATTCTCGGATTGAAAACAGAAGTTGTAATCATTTAGCAGTTTATTGGCATTGGTTTCATTGACGGAATAGGATCTAAATTGTGTTCATTTCTGAGAGTAGCTACCACATTAATCTAGCAAATTCCTCCTGGCATTCAATTAGCCATCTGAGTGTATGCTCTGGAGAATGACAATTCATTAGGTTATTACTGCGCTGTCTTGTCTCCCAAGTCCTGGGGTATGGAGATGAATATGAGTCCCTCACTGCCAACCCCCCCAGAGCACCTGAATCTTTCCCATTCTTTGCTGCTTCGTGCTAGTGTGGGGACAGATGGTGCCACAGTAAAGCAGAGGATATCCAGACGGGTTGTTTTTCGTTTGTCTTGCGGCCTGTCTCTACAGCTCTGCCACACTTTCTCCATGAACGAAGGTATTGTGAGGATTTTAGAGCTGGGGTGAGAATTTCCATCCTGGTCTGAGAAAGAAGGAAAGATGAGTGGGAAGTTTGTTTTTCCATGTTTTGCAATTTGCGTCATTTGCTTGATTTTTCTTTGATAATCAAATCAACTGAGTTAGCAGGGTAAGTATGTGAACCCTATTTTAAAGTCAAGGAATTTGCTCTAGCCAGTTTGGCGCAGTGGATAGAGCGTCGGCCTGGGGACTGAAAGGTCCCAAGTTCGATTCCGGCCAAGGGCACATGCCCGGGCTGAGGGCTTGGTCCCCAGTGGGGGCCGTGCAGAAGGCAGCCAATCAATGACTCTCTCATCATTGATGTTTCTATCTCTTCCTCCCTCTCCCTTCCTCTCTTAAATCAATAAAGAAATATATTTTTAAAAAAATAAAAATAAAGTCAAGGAATTTGAGTCCTTGAGCAAAAGAATGCTAGTTATATCAGGATGGTGACCTATGGTTTTGGCACTTCAGGAATGTGATAGGATCTGAAAGTTTTGGGTCACAGCCTGTTGCAGACTCTAGTCCTGCTCAGCAGAGGTGCAGCAGGTGTCACAAAGTCCTTTAGGTGATGAGAAAGGCCGGCTGAGCCAGTAAAGACGCTAGGTGACCCTGTCCTGGCGCTTAGCTTAAGTCACTCACAACCTGGGAGTGTCATCATCAGTTACAGCGGAGAGGTGACCAGAGACTGCCCTGTGGGGTTTCTCTAGTTCCTCTCCCCTTCCGTCATATCACCCCCTTGACTGGCCTCCATCAGTGCAAGGAATGCTAATCTCCTTGCTAATCAGCACAATAGTCCAATTGTCATTTGCAAGAAGAGAGCAAAAGAACCATATCTTGAAGTTTCATAGGCACCATTTTCATGATCAAGGTATCTTGATCTTACCTTGTTGGTCCATTTCATAGGTAGAGAGTTGTTGGGTTGATACACACCTTCACTTCCATGTCCTCTCCTTAAGGAGGCTCTCCCTGCAGTGAGCCAAGACAAAATGGTGCCACACACACATTCATATTGCTACCAGCACTTGTGAACAGACAGGCCAGGGGAAGTAGTAAATAAGCTTTTCAAGTGGGGAAAAGCCATTTGTGAAAGATGAGCTGGGAAAAGACTGCTTGAACCAGTGGACATGTGGCTCTCTAGCTATTTGCCTCATGGACATTGAGGCTCAGAGGAGAAGTAAGTGTTGTGTTAATGTTGTACAGCTTAGAAGTTGCAGAGCCAGGACTAGAATCCAACTGTCTCCCAGCTGGTCATTTTTCAGCTGTTACTCCCATTGAATAGCAGTCATTGGTTTTAACTCCTTCCCACATGTAGTGTTTCCAAAGCATATCCTAAGCGTGCTATTAAAATTTTGTTCATCAAGCTCTTAGGCAGATGAATTCTACAATTAAATTGCTTGACATTATCATCTAGATCTCTTGTGGATACCTAGAGATAGCTGTGCTACTGGATATCATGGAACATCTTTCAGTTCCTGGTTTAAACCATTAGCCATTTCATAGTGTTTGGGAACTTTAGACTCTAACAAAGAAAATGCCTAAGTCCTACCCTTAGAAGTTGTGACTCAATTGGTTTGGAACAGGGTGAACAACCCCTCTCCTAGACATGATTTCTCTTTCAGCAGAACCCAGGTTTTCTGAGTCTTAATAGCTGCCAGAACGTAGAACACCTTTTTTCTAAAGCTGGTCTCCTTTTTGTAGGTAATGCTGGAGGATGGGAGAAGCAAAGGGTTTGGCTTTGTCTGCTTCTCATCTCCTGAAGAGGCTACCAAAGCAGTCACTGAGATGAATGGACGCATTGTGGGCTCCAAGCCACTGTATGTCGCCCTGGCCCAGAGGAAGGAAGAGCGAAAGGCTCACCTGACCAACCAGTATATGCAGCGGGTGGCCGGAATGAGAGCACTCCCTGCCAATGCCATCTTAAATCAGTTCCAGCCTGCAGCTGGTGGCTATTTTGTGCCAGCAGTTCCACAGGTGGGTCTGCTGTACATTCATGGCTCTGGAACCTGCCCACTGACGGTGGCTCCTGCAGTGGTTGGGGATATCAGAGTTCTAGAACGACAGGGAAGGGTCCTTCAAATAAAATGAAGGATTTATCCATGGTCATACGTACAGTGGCAGGGATGAAATAAAATACTCTCCATTAACTGACCTTCCTTTTGAGTAGAGAGAGAGCCGCTTCCTGAATTAGCCAAGGCCTGGTAGTGAGATCAGATGCTTCTCTAGTGTGGACTCAGGTCCTTGAAATAAATGGGCTTGGGTGCTCTCTCTTGCAGGCTCAGGGAAGGCCTCCATATTACACACCTAACCAGTTAGCACAGATGAGACCTAATCCACGCTGGCAGCAAGGTGGGAGACCTCAAGGTAGGTGGTGGGAAACGGATTGATTACCCAGGATATACTTAATCCTGGTCTCCCCTGCCTCTCCTCTTTGCCCCACCTCTGAGGTGCAGCCTAAGTTCTGGTCCACATTATTCGTTGCTGATGTGCAATTTTTATCTTTTCACCAGGCTTCCAAGGAATGCCAAGTGCTATACGCCAGTCTGGGCCTCGTCCAGCTCTTCGCCACCTGGCTCCAACTGGTAATGCTCCGGCCTCTCGTGGCCTCCCTACCACTGCTCAGAGAGTCGGTGAGCAACCTGGCCTTGAGGAGCATGGCCTGGGGAGGAGGGCTCAGGAGGACTAGGCTCTGCCCAGGGTCGGTCAGTTTGTTGGCTCCTCTTTGAGTCCTGGTTCTGTCATCTTAGCTGTGTGCTTAGGTAGGTACAAAGGGGCAGAGAAACAATTCATTCTAGGAGTGCTGGTTACTTTTTAAGAGTCTTTGCTCATTGGTGAGCCATGTGAACAAGGTTAGTGGTAGAAGTTTGTTAGCTGGATGACTAGAGGCAGCCCGTTCTTCTGGGTGGAGTTGGGAGAGTTAAGGAAACTTTTTTTACAGAGTATGTCCTGTATGCCAAAAGGTGGAAAGAGTTGTATGCTATCTGTTGGCTGTTCCTTGAGAGTAGCAGTAGAGGCCCCCTGTGTGATGTGTTTGAACATACTTTGGAATTTCTCCTTCTGTGGGGCGTGGCCAGTTGGACATCTGCCAACACTGATGTGCATTTGCTGGTCTGTTGTAGGGTCTGAGTGCCCGGACCGCTTGGCTATGGACTTTGGTGGGGCTGGTGCCGCCCAGCAAGGGCTGACTGACAGCTGCCAGTCTGGAGGTGGTATTGGATGCACACAGAATGGGGAAAGATGGGATTTGACGGGTCTTTGCCCAGACTGATGGGCTTTAATTTTACTTGTTCTTTTCCTAAGGTGTTCCCACAGCTGTGCAGAACTTAGCACCTCGCGCTGCTGTGGCTGCTGCTGCTCCCCGGGCTGTTGCACCTTACAAGTATGCCTCCAGTGTCCGCAGCCCTCACCCTGCCATACCACCTCTGCAGGTGGGTCCACCAAACACCGCTAAAGGATTTCCCCCGTTCCCGTGCGATTTAAAAGATGCCTTGCTTTGATTCCTTAAACAGGTGTAAAATGCCTGCTCTGTGTCAGGATGCTGTGTGGTGTGTGGTGACACTGCCCTTGAGGGGCCCTCTAGCGGGCCAGAAGGGGCTTAAAAGTGTTCTTCCTAAAACAGTTCCCTTGGATATGCCCCAGAGGAGACCGCTGGTGCTTCCTGCTTTCCTTTTTACAATATATGTGTGTTCATTCGGCTCATTGAGCTTTCATGTCTCTTTCACCTCCAATGGCTTAATGGATCCTTAGCTGCTCTACAAGGTAATGAATATATTGAGGCAGGAAAGAACTTCATGTCACAGAGTTCAGTTTCAGAGGTGTTGAGTTGAGGTGGGGCAGTTGGACCCAGATATTAGATTGTCTAAGCTGGAACTTGCTATCTCTGGAGCTGTGCCACCCAGGCAAGCCATGCTGCAACTGGTTTGTTGAAAAGCTCAGTAGCACTTTGCTTGGAGGAGACATACCAGTCTTGTGATCCAGGAGCTGCTTCCTCCTGCTCCATGCTCTTGAAGTTGAATATTCCCCAGAACTTGATGCTATGTGAAATATTTTTTGCCTACAAGGCCCTACTTTTAGAGCTCTAATTGGCATTGACCTTGCATGTTGATAGTCCTCAAGTATTTGATACAATAAAAACATTTGGTACAATAAAGGTTATGTGGGATGTAATTATAAATGGTTTGATATGCATACCCTTTGACCTGGTCTTTACTAGGAATTCATTCTAAAGGAAAAAACTAATTTTTAGGAAAAGGCTATACATACACATGTTCACTGTACCTTACTTATTAACAAGGTTTTAAATTTTACTAAGGTTTTGAATGCTTGGGTAACCTTGGGTAAACAACCTTAAATAAATCAAAATCATTTGATAGATGGTTGCCAAGCATTGTAGGTTTGTTTTATTTCCCTTCCAATAGCATACTGTTCTTAGGGTAGTTGGCTGTGTGTCTGTGCCCACACCACGATTCCTCACTTCACACTCTCTACGTTCCTGAGAGCAAAGACAACTACTCCACCTCCTCTTTCACATAGTAGACTTTCAGATGTTGAACGGTCACCCTCTTGATCACTCTCAAGTGTCTTTTCCTTGGTGCTAACCCGCTGCCTCTCCTGGTTCCCAGGCACCCCAGCCTGCGGTCCATGTGCAGGGGCAGGAGCCCCTGACCGCCTCCATGCTGGCTGCAGCACCCCCCCAGGAACAGAAGCAGATGCTGGGTACGTGCTTGCACAAGAGGGGGCCAGAGCCTGGTACTGACCTGGACACCAGTGTCCATTCTTTCCCGGGATTCAACTTGGTTTTTACTTGAGTATCTTCCCATAGGCGAACGTTTGTTCCCTCTCATCCAAACCATGCATTCGAACCTGGCTGGAAAGATTACGGGAATGCTTCTAGAGATCGACAACTCCGAGCTGCTGCACATGCTGGAGTCCCCCGAGTCTCTCCGCTCCAAGGTGAGCAGGGTGGTCTCAGCTGCGGATGATGACCGGTGGCCTTGGACCCCCACATGTGGCAGAGAGAAGGGGCCGCTCTGGTGTGGGTATTTGAGAAAGCAGCACCAGGAGAAGCCACCACTGGACCTGGGCATCAGGGAGGAGTGGAGGGGCTCTGCTTAGATGTCACTGACCGCCTGGAGATTTCTCACAGGTGGATGAAGCTGTGGCAGTCCTACAGGCTCATCATGCCAAGAAAGAAGCTGCCCAGAAGGTGGGCACTGTTGCTGCTGCTACCTCTTAGGCAAGGAAAAAACGTACGTTCGGCTATTTTTTGTTTTCTATAATAGTTTGACTTGTGAATATCTTCCTAAAAATTTAGGGACAATATGTAGAGCTAGTTAACTTGGGGATGCTGCCATCTGGGTTTTTTCTATCATCTGGATGAATTAACATGGAGAAAAGAGTACAGGTTATAAATTATAAGGAGCAAACAACAGTTTTCTCAATAAGCACCTAGTTAGAAATTTTGCATAGCTTATCCTTTCCTGATGGTTATAAGCAGATTTTCGTAATCACATTTTTGGTTTGGAATAATGATGAATATAATCAGATCTCACAGCCTCATTTCTATGACCATCTTCCTGGTTTGAGATTGGTGAGGGTCAGCTGTGTATATAGCCACTGCTTAGCTCTGGGAACACAGTAGGCACAGGCCTTGGTGTCAAAGTGGAAGAGACAGACACACACCTGACTACAGTTACAGCATGTGTTCCAGTCAACTTCTGGACTTGGGGACCATGGTCCCTGTCTGCAGGGGATTGGGTGAGTGAAGCTTAACTAGGACCTCTGACAAAGGCTGATCAAGGAGAGAACCAAATGAGCAGAGGCACAGTCAAGGAAAGTGCAGGTGGTACGGGCTAGAACTGGTATGATGGTCGGGGTTGACTCAACATAGCCATGGTTCCTTGGCTTTTGTCATTTGGAATTTAAGCAACAGAAACATAAAACTAAAGTTTTGAGTACAGGATGGCTTACAAGGAGGGAGGTGTAAGGGTTTACAGACTAGTTATCCTCAAAGTCCGTGGCTCTAAATTAGGTGTGCCCCTTCAGAGGACATTTCTCAATGTCAGGAGACATTTCTGGTTCTCATAACTGGGAATGTGTCACTGGCATCTAGTGGGTATAGGCCAGGGATGCTGCTAAACATTCTACACTGCACAGTATAGCCCCAGCAGAATTTTCTTCAGGCCAAAATGTGAGCACTGAGGTTGAGAAACCCTGCTCTGTAATACCTTTTATCCGCCAGAGATTTCAGTGAATCTCTGAAGTTCTTTTGATTATTTATGTTGGTGCTTTTCTTTTCAGGATTCAAAAGCCAAATAACCCCTCATGAAATTCAGCTCAAGGTTTGAAGACTTCCTAGCTTGTCCTATGGACCTCAACACTAAGAACCACAAATTGCAAATTTAATAGGTCATTTTGTATCAAAAGGTCAATTATGAAGCACCTAGAATTTTTCAATTAAAAGAATATATTCTCTGGGTTCTGCTACAGCTCAGACAGTGTTAACTTTTTTTTTTTTTTCCTGTTGTGGGTTTTGATCTTTCCCCAGAAATTGGTTTTATTTGATGTATCCAAGTCTTTAAGTTTCTCAATAAAGAAAAAACTCCATAAAACTGCCTATCTTGTGTTGTACTCTGATCATAGTTTTATTTTATAAATCTCTTCACTGGAAATAATTTTAGGATGTAAATAGGGTCAAGTGAAGTTCTGTATAGCTTATTCTTTCCTGCAGTTATAAGCAGGCTATTTTGGGTTAGCTAGGTGTGCATAACTGTCCCATTTCTTTCTGTTATGGAAGGACTTTATATTTGCTCCATTTAACTTAAGGGAACAGGCATCTGATCAAAGCTGGCCTTGGATCCGATATAGGGGTGGCATGTTTCTGAAGGACATGATGAGATATGCAGAACCTGGCCACTCCCTCCATGACGTGCTGGTGGTGGGTTGTCAGTCCCTTTTCTCTCCAACAGTCCTGCATGCAGGTCAGCATGTCCAGTTCCCCAAATTCTGCAACTGGGGGTTTCCCCTGGCAGTGGGAAAGGCTTGGGAAGATAGGTCTGAGTGGCAACAGCAAACAGTTGCTCAAATCCTAAGTGTTTTGTGGTTCCTTTAGTCCTTAAAACAACATTGGCCAAGGCTAACAGTCTACGTGTCCTTGTCCTCCATGAACCCTCCCTTTTTCCGTGAGCTTGGCAGGCTCTCCTTCGGGCCTCACCCACGTGATCCCATTCCTTGGAATGCTCCGTTTTGGTCGGCTCCCCCTTTTCCTTAAGGTCTGGCCCAATGTACAATAGATCCTCCCATTTCCTGACGACCGACCGTGGGTAACGCGGCTATGTATTTGCGTTTTCTATTTGCGCCCCTCCAGCCCCCACCCGTGCAGCTGCAGAACCTGGTTGGTGCAGGCATCTGCGCTAGAGAGATAGGGGCGGGGCCCGGGAGCGGGCTTCCGGCGGAAGAAGCAGCGGCAAGATGGCTGACACCGCGGGGTGCCTGCGTGGCGGTGACACCGGTCTTGAACCGAGGTTGTGGTTGGCCCGTGGCGGCACGTGGTGGCACGCAGCCGCACGTAGTGGCCGCCGGGATGTGCTCACAATCTACGTGGCGGCGGCACGTAGCGGTCAGGGCCGGGTCTCATGGGGTTTTTACCCCCGCGGTTTGAATGGTGCTCACTATTTACGTAGCGGCGGCAGGTAGCTGCCAGAGACCTGTCACAGGTTTTACCCGCGCAGTTCGGTACTTGGTACTGGCGATCTACTGATTAACGTGGCGGCACGTAGCGGCCAGGACGCTCTCTCTTATGAGTTTTACCCGCACAGTTCGGTACTTGCTGGCGATCTTCTACCGATTAACGTGGCGACACGTAGCGGCCAGGACACTCTCTCTTATGAGTTTTTACCCGCACAGTTCGGTACTTGGTACTGGCGATCTAGTGATTAACGTGGCGGCAAGTAGCAGGACGCTGTCTCTTATGAGTTTTTACCCGCGCAGTTCGGTACTTGGTACTGGCGATCTACCGATTAACGTGGCGACACGTAGCGGCCAGGACACTCTCTCTTATGAGTTTTTACCCGCACAGTTCGGTACTTGGTACTGGCGATCTAGTGATTAACGTGGCGGCAAGTAGCGGCCAGGACCCGGTCTCACGGGTTTACCCGCGCAGTTCGGTACTTGGTACTGGCGATCTACTGATTAACGTGGCGACACGTAGCGGCCAGGACGCTGTCTCTTATGAGTTTTTACCCGCGCAGTTCGGTACTTGGTACTGGCGATCTACTGATTAACGTGGCGACACGTAGCGGCCAGGACGCTGTCTCTTATGAGTTTTTACCCGCGCAGTTCGGTACTTGGTTCTGGCGATCTATTGATTAACGTGGCGGCAAGTAGCGGCCAAGACGCTGTCTCTTAGGAGTTTTACCCGCGCAGTTCAGTACTTGGTACTGGCGATCTATTGATTAACGTGGCGGCAAGTAGCGACCAGGACACTGTCTCTTATGAGTTTTACCAGTGCAGTTTGAAAGGTGCTGGGATCTAGGTGGCGGCACGTAGCGGCCAGGACCCGGTCTCACGGGAAACCCGCCGCAGTTTGAAAGGTGCTCGCGATCTACCTGGCGGTCAGGGCGGGGTCTCATGGGGTTTTACCCGCGCAGTTTGAAAGGTGCTCGCGATCTACCTGGTGGCCAGGACCCGGTCTCAGGGGTTTTACCCGCGCAGTTTGAAAGGTGCTCGCGATCTACGTGGCGGCACTTAGCGGCGGGGACCGGTGTCTTTAGGCTTTACCCCTGCAGTTTGAATGGTGCTCACGACTTGATAGCTCCATTGAACGTAGCGCTGCCCAAAGTCCTTTTCCCTCGGACCTAGACCAGAACAATGGTGAGATCTGTTATTGGGACCTTGGTTGGCATCCCAAACTCTCAGTCTTGGCTCCTTAGATGAGGCATTTCCAGAATAGTTAGGGAATTATGGAAACAGCCTCACCATTGGTTGGTGAGCACGTGATGCAGTTGTCTGATTGCTGAGGGGGGTCGGGCTGGGGTTTTTCGGGAATAACCACTCCATCTGGAAAGATGAGGGCAAACATCCTGGAGGTGCTGAGGCCAGAGCTAGGTTTGAAAGGTCAAGAGTTAGGCTCCAAGGTGGGAGCAGGGCGCTGGCCTGAATGGAGAGCAGGAAAAGCAAAAGCCTAGAGGGGTGAAGTAAGTCTAGCTCTTGGAGGCAAATAATTTGGACTGGGGAAGCGGAGGAGAAAAGGCTAGAGTCAGGTTATGAAGGTCTTATATGCCACGCTAAGGAATTTGGACCGGTCCTATGGGCATTGGTGAGCTTTAGGGCAATGTTAAGCAGGGCAGTGCTGTAATCAGATTTGCGCTTTCTTGGCATCATTGTAGTCACTGTACAGAGGAAGGAGAAATGAGGTGGTGAGCTCATTTGGAAGTTGTCAGAGGGGCTGAAGAGGGACGGGGAAAAGTTACTTTGTGTGCTCAAAAGACTGCAGGACCCCTCCTTTTCCGGCCTTTGACTATCTTTTTTTTTTTTTTTAAATATATTTTATTGACTTTTTACAGAGAAGAAGGGAGAGGGATAGAGAGTTAGAAACATCAATGAGAGAAGAGAGATCAATCAGCTGCCTCCTGCACGCCCCACAGTGGGGATGTGCCTGCAACCAAGATACATGCCCTTGACCAGAATCGAACCTGGGACCCTTGAGTCCGCAGGCTGACGCTCTATCCACTGAGCCAAACCGGTTCGGCCGGCCTTTGACTATCTTGCTAGCACATTGTTACTGAAGCCATACCAAGAGTATGGAGGACATTAGTTCCGAAGGAGCTTGGTGCCTTTGTAGGTGGGCTGACAGAGGAAGTGGATGGCAAAATTCTTTATGCAGCATTTACTTTTTTTGGAGACATCACAGATATTCAGATTCCACTGGAATATGGAACAGATGAGTCTTTCCAATGTCTCTCATGTTTAGATTCCTAATGAGAATCCAGCTCTGCTACTAACTTTGTGTGTGACTCAAACTGTCTGAGTTCTTCAGGGAAAGAGCTTGAGGAGAACATTAAGTCATGTGCATTCACTGTAATTTGGTATGTACTGAAGTTAAGGAGGGAGTCACTGATCTTGGTGATGGAAAAGAAATGTTCTAAGGACCACGAAGCCAAGATGGTGGATAGCTGTAGGCTGAAATGTACAGAGATTGACAATTTGTCGGATTTGAAGAAAGGCTTTCTCCACATTGGAACCTGTGATTTCTGATTATTTAACTTATAAACTATATAGTAAGAATCAGTAAAAAGATGGTTTTTCTTAAAAAGTCTGGTTATTGTCTCACACTTGCTGGTAGCTGAAACCCACCACATCTTTTTTTTTTTTTTATAACTAAAAATTGGTAAATTTTTATTGATTCATAAAGTATACAGTATAAGTTATGTATGGAATAGCACATTGGGTAAATGGCCTCCACTGCTTTGCTGGCACATAGGCAAAGCTGTGGTCTTTTTTTTTTTTTTAACGTAATGTGTATTCTTTATTTATTAGAAACAAATCTCTACATAAATCATAGCTAGTCAATTGTTTTATTAAAATCCTCTACCCTTACATATTTTCAGTCTTCTTGAACTGACAATTTCTGGGAGAATTATGATAAAAACGTCCCTCTGTGATGTGATTTGCCAATTTCTCTTTGTATTTCTATAAGTTGCTGCTTTAAAGATTTCCATGTTATGTTGCTAAGTGCATAAAGGTTTATGAGTGCTTTATCTTCTTAGTAGATATCTTTTATCAATGTGAAATATTCCTCTTTGTTCCTTTAAAAAGTGTTTTATCTTACATAGCACATGGTCTGAAATTTATATTGCTAAAACTCCTTTTTATTAGGCCTCCCCAGGAACATCTTTATTTTCCAACTTCAAGGTCCTTTTGAATACATAAGCTTGCAATATCCCCATCTGCTGCAGCAGTTCCTTGATGTGATCATTTTGGACATAACCACCACATCTTCTGACCAGATTTCCCTTCTTGGCAGCTGTGATTTCAATATGTTTTTTGTTTGTTTGTTTTTTCATTTTAGAGCGAGGGGAAGAAGAGGGAGAGAGAAACATCGCTCAGCTATGGGGGCCGATCCCGCAACCTTGGGCATGTGTTCTGACGGGGAATCAAGGTAGCAACCTGTAGGTGCACAAGAGGATGCCCAACCAACTGAGCCACACTGGCCAGGGCACTGACAGCTGTGTTCTTAAAAAGCAGAGGGAAGCTCAGCCTCAACAATGGAGCCTTGGCCTCTGGTCACCTGGGTGAGTTTTCCTTCAGTTGGTATCACAGTTACAGTGCCATGGTTCTAATTGATCCATGGTTGTTATTTTTTAAGATAAGAGTTTTAGACCCTGCTCTGCCACTTTGTGTGTCACTCTTAAACTCTTTGAGCCTTAAGTTCTTCAATTCTTTTATTTTTATTTTTATATGAGCGTTTATTCCAATAATGCTGGCAGTATGGGAGAGCAGCAAGTCATCCACAAAAACCTTTCAATTCTTTTAAAAATATATACATATTTTTTATTGATTTCAGAGAGGAAAGGAGAAAGAGATAGAAACATCAATGATGAGAGAAGCTCAAGCCCA